TGACCAATTCCCACCGCTGCCTACCCGCACTCATCTATCATCATCCCAGCTACTTTCCCCAGCTCCACCCCTCCTCTCTCTATTTATTTCAGAGCTCCCTTTCCCCTCCCCCATTTCTGAAGAAGGGTCCCAACCCGAAATGTCAACTTTCCTGCTCCTCTGATGCTGCCTGGCTTCGTGTATTCCTCCAGCTCCACCCTGTGTTACAACTTCTTCCTCACTGTTATGAGACTTCTGAATGGATCTCTCAAATTTTAAATGCAATGCTGATCTTGTTCTTTGTGCAGCTTCTCTGCAACCGTAACATTGTATTCTTCGCTCTGTTCTAATAACCTTATGCACTTTGTACAGTGTGATCTGCCTGTACTGCACACAAAATAAAACTTTTTACTGTACCGAGGTACATGTGACAACAACAGTACAATGATGAAATTGTATAAGACACTCTGAGGCCACAGCTGGAGTAATGTGTGCAGTCCTGGTCACTACATAACAGGAAGGACGTAATTGCTCTGGAGACAGTGCAGAGAAGATTTACAAGAATGTTGTCAGGACTGGAGAATTGTTGCTCCGAGGAGAGATTGGAGAAGTTGGGGTTGTTATCCTTGAAATAGAGAAGGCTGAGGGGTGACATGATTGAGGTATACAAAATTGTGAGGGGGTTAGACAGAGGAGAAATGAGGAACCCATTTCCCTTGGCAGAGAGTTCAACAGATGGGTTTTTAAGTGGCAGAAGGATTAGAAGGGAGGTGAGAAAAATTGGTTTTATGCAGAGGGTAGGGATTGCCTGAAATTCACTGCCTGAGTTCGTGGTGGAGGCAGTGACCCTAAATTCTTTTTAAAAAGACCGCAATGTACACCTCGAGTGTTGTAAACTGCTATGCAGGGCTATGAGCCTTGTGCAGCAAGATGGGACCAGAAAGGGCATCTGAGTGACTTCTGTTCAGCATGGACGAGATGAGCCAAATGGCCACCTTCTGTGCTGTATCATTTCTACGGGACGAATGCACTGTTGTTCCCATCCCACTACTCCACGGGCTGCAAAAGAAAATAAAAATATTACACTCAAGTTCTAATGCAGCCAACTCAACCCTCAGTCCTAAAATAATTGTCCTTCTTTAAGGTTAGCACAGTTGTTTCCAACCCAAGTTTCTCATTCTCAAGCTGAATGCTAAATTCTACTCTGTTATGGTCACAGGTCCCGAGGGAGTCTTTTACTCTGCGATCATTTATTAAGTTTGCTTCATTCCACATTACCAGATCAAAAACAGCCTAATCTGTATTCTTCTCAGAAACTATCCCCAATGTAATCTGTGAATATTTCCTCATGGTTACCTCTGCCAATTTGATTTTCCAAATCTGTGTGAACATTCAAGTCATCCATGATCAATGTACTGCCTTTTATGCATGCCTCATTATTTTAGAATTTGTTCGCTGTCTGAACCTATGTAGAACTCCCACAACTGCTTTTTTGTTATTTCTTACCTCCACCTATATAGATTTATTGATCCAAGATCATTTCTTGCGAATATACTAATTCCATCTTGTACTAACAAGCCAACCCACCACCCTTCCCTCACTGCCTGGCCTTCCAAAATGTGACATACCCCTGAATATTCAGTTTTTTGCTTTGCTCTTCTTGTAACCATGTCACTGTAATGACCAAAAACTCATACTCATTGATGTACATTTGTGCCATTGCTTCATTTATTTTGTTTTTAATACAACGTATATTCAAGTAAAAAGCAGTTAATTTTGCCTGATATCCTTTCGATCCCACTTTTGTCTGAATTTGTTGTGGTTTTTTTATGTTTGTACATTCTGTTCCTTCCTGTCCCCCATGGCGTATAATTATCAAAATACTTGCTCTGCAATGGTGCCTTATCTCTTTGATTCATAAGCCTACATTTCTCCCTCCTGAGCTCTGCCAATCTCTAGTTTAAAGCCCTCACTCAGCCCTGGTTATTTGATTTGTCAGCACACTGGCCCCAGCACAATTTAAGTAAAGTGTGTCCGACCATAATAATTCTCTTCTATCCTAGTACTGGTGCCAGTGCCCCATGAACTGAAACCGATTCCACCCATTCTGCACTTCAAGCCATGCATTTTGACCTCATGGCTCAGGCTTTTTTTAAAATTCATTCACAGGATGAGGGCACCAGCTTTCATTGCCCATTCCTAATTGCCCAGAAGACAATTAAGAGACGGCCACATTGCTGTGGATCTGGAGTCATATGTAGGCCAAAGCAGGTAAAGATGGAAGTTTGCTTCCCTAAGAGGACATTAGACTTATTGCCCCATCACCTTCGGAGTTGGAACCTTACCAATGGCAGCATGGGCATGGAAGATTAAAGCATGTCAATATTACACTAAATGCAAAATAAACATATTTTAAAAATATTTGTATTGAAATAGGGACTTAAAAATACAATGTATTAATGTACAAATAGAAATTTACTAACCTACAACTTCCAGTCCAACTGTAAACCTTTCTGAATCAGTTCGGTCATCAACTGAACATATGTATTCTCCTCCATCAGATCGTGTTATGTTCTGTATTCTCAGAGAAATGTTTCCTTTGGTCAGTTCATCTTTAAACAGTTCCGTCCTTCCTCTGTAATCCTTGTGTTGAGCAGCAATGTGATCTTCTCCATTTATGTACACGTGTACTGGTGAATCGAGACCCAATTTAAACCACTGCACCACCATGCTGCTGACAAATATATCTGGCAAAAGCTGGCATTCCAACACAGCATCTTCACTTGCAACGGCTCTAACAGGATCAGAAGGTCCAACTACCATGAATTTACCTAGTGAACAATAACATTTCAAATCACACTGATATTCAAGAAATCGACAGAGGGAAAAATACATGTAAAATAACAAATCACTCAACTGAGACTCCTGTGATCAATTCTAATAGATATTCCTTGAGGTAATGGCATCGAGATATGTTACTGGGCTAACAGTACAGAGACCCAGATAATATCCCCAGGACACAGGTTCAAATCCCACCAAAGCACAGGGTGGAATTTTAATCCAATAAAAGCTGCAATTAAAAGTCTAATGCTGACTGAGAGACCATTGTCTCAAAAGACAATCTGGTTCACTCATGCCTTTTCAGGAAGGTAAAATGCTCTCCTTATCTGGCGTACCTTACAGTGACTGCAGACCCACAGCAATGTAGTTGACTCTGAAATGACAGAGCAAACCAGTTTTGTCAAGCTGTTACAAAGCCTAAACAAAGGAATGAAACCGACAGACCATCTAACATCAACTAAGTCACTGGCAACAGCAAACACAGCCCAGCTGACCCCACAAAGTTATCCTTTATAACATCTGGGGACTAGTGCCAACAGAAGTTAAGTCAGGCTGGTTAAGCAACACCCTGACACAGTCTTATTTTCGCAATTATATCTAGTTGACAATGTCTCAGACAAGACCATCACAATATCTACAATTCCTGGGTATATTCAGTCTCATTGGCAGGATACACCCAGCAGAGGTAGTAGCACAGTGGCATACAGTCAGAGAGATGTTGAGCTGAGTCCTCAACATAGACTCCACTCCCTATGAAGTTTCACGGTATCACGTCAAACATCAACACGTAAAGTTGCTCCTGATTACTACCTACGACCCCATCTCAGCTGATAAATGTGCACTCTACATTTCACTTGGAGGAAGAACTGAAGATGGCAAAGGCACACAATGTACTCTGGATAGGAGACTTCAATGTCTATCACCAAGTGTGGCTCAGTGGCACCATTATCAACCAAATTAACTGAGTCCAAAGGACGTAGACTGGGTCCGCAGCAGGTGGTAAAGAAACAACATGAAAATATTTATCAAGGTCATTCTCACCGATATACCTGCCAGTGGTGCACTTATCCATGAAGTGGAAGCAATGATCACCGCAAAGTGTTTGTGGATTTTGATGATGGTGCCTTTTCACTTTGTATTTTTAAAAATTTGGTTTTGAGATGAGAAAGACCTGTTTTAAAACAAGTATCTATAAGGGTGGCTGCAGTTTTGAAAAGCCAATAACCTAACACTCATGTCAAGCATCATGTAAACAACTGTTTGAACAAACAGGAATTGAAGTTCAGGTTGTAGATGATTGGAGTTGAGGGGAGTATACTGATGCATGTCTTGCTGGCAACAAGAAGGTGATTAGTCCATGGACCACTGACCAGTTATCAGTGACAGATTGTTTTTGCCTGCTAACATTGAGATATTTGTTCTAAGGTAACTGAAAAGTGTGCAGCAGTGTCAAAATCTGGGAATTCCCTCCCTGATAGCACTGTGGGTCCACCCACAGCAGGTGGACTGCAGCAGTTCAAGAAGGCAGCTCACCATCACCTTCTCAAGGGCAACCAGGAACAGGAAATAAATGCTGGTCAGCCAATGAAAGCCCCAGCTCAAGAGCAGTCTCCTTTTCTTCAGTCAAAATTCAGAACTGAAACCCAAACTGCAGCCGCTGCTTGAAGATGGCTGAAGCAATGTGCTGGCCATTGAACCTGGGGGAACAGGCAATGGGCCTGCCTCGCCCCATGGATGTGTGTGTGTGTGCGTGTTTCTCCCCACAACTTTTCTTAAACAAAGGTACAACATTAGCCATCCTCTGGTCCTCACACGTACTTATAGATGATGCAAATATTTCCTCAAGGGGTCTCATAATTTCCTTTCTCACATCCCACAACGTTCTGGGATACATTAGATCAGGTCCTGGAGACTTATCAACCTTTATATTCTCTAAGACCTCCCCAACTTCCTCTTCTGTAATATGAACTGTTTTTAAAACATCAAAGTGTATTTCTCTGCATTCTCTAGACTCCATTTCTTTCTCCAAAGTAAAAACTGATGCAAAATATTCATTCAGTATCTCTCCCATTTCCTGTGGTTCAACACAAAGATGACCTCCTTGATCTTTAAGAGGCCCTACCCTCTCTCTAGTTATCCTCTTGCTCTTAATGTATTTGTGGAATCTCTTTGGATTATCCTTAACCTTATCTGCCAATGCTGTCTCAAATCCCTTCTTTGCCTTTCTGTTTTCTCTCAATCAATATAAAGAGTGTAGGGGCATTCTTTAGAGATTCAATTGAACCAAGTTGTCTATGTCTAATAAAATACTCTTTTTATTCTTGACGAGAACCTCAATATCTTTATTCATCCATTGTTCCTTAATCTTACCAGCCTTACCCTTCATTCTAACAGGAACAAAATGCCTCTGAACTCTCATCATCACACTCTTGAACATCTCCCACTTGTCAGATATCCTTTTACCTGAGAACAGTCCACTCCAATCAACTTTTGAAAGTTCTTGTCTCACACCATTAAAATTTGCCCTACTCTAATTGAAAACTTCAACTTTTATGGAAGGCTTCTCCATAACCATTTTGAAAGTAATAGAATTATGATCGCTAAACCCAAAGTATTCCCCCACTTTTACTTCAGTCACCTGTCCTGCCTTATTGCCCAAAAGAAGGTCTCGTTTTGCTCCTTCTCTAGTAGGAGCATTCAGACATTGAGAAGAAAATTTCCTTGAACATTTGACAAATTCTTCATCATCCAAACTCTTAATACTATGGTTGTACCAATCAATGTTTGGAAAATTAAAATCCCCCATTAATACAACCATATATTTGAGATCTTCCTTCATATTTGTTTCTCAATTTCCCTTTTACTATTGGGGGGCCGATAGTAAAATCTCAAAGTGATCTTTCCTTTCTTATTTGTAATTTTTACCCATATATTTTCACTGGATTTTTCAGAAGTATCTTCCCTATCTTAAGAGTTTTAAGTAATACTGTATATGCCAACAGTTTATAGCTGCTCATCTGTAGCTATTGTCTAATTATTTAGTATAATATGACAAGATAATAGGAATTAGCAGAATTAGGCATTCAGCCCATCGAGTATACTCTGCCATTCAATTATGGCTAATATGTATCTCAACTCCACACTCCCCTGTCTTATCCCCATAACCATTGAACCCCTGACAAACCAAGCATCTATCTATCTCTGTCTTAAATACATTCAATGACTTGGCCTCCACAGCCCTCTGTGGCAATGGGTTCCACAGGTTCACCACAATCTAGCTAAAGAAATTCCTCCTCATCTCAGTTCTAAAGGGTCATCCCTTCACTCTGAGGTTGTGTCTTTGGGTCTAAGTCTTTCTGACTAAGTCTTCTCCATGTCCATTCTATACATTTCTCTGGGCATTCTGTCAGTTTCAATCAGACCCCTTCTCACTCTTCTAAATGCCATTAAGTACAGACCAAGAATCCTCAAATGCTCCTCATTCGTCAAGCCCTCCAAGGCCAGCACAGAGTTTTTTCGATACAGGGCTAAAAACTGCTTACAATATTCCAAATGTGGTCTGACGAGAGCCTTATACAGCTCAGCAGAGCATCTCTGCTTTTAATTTCTAACCCTCTTGAAATAAATACTAACATTGCATTTGCCTTCCTCATTGCCAACGGAACTTGTACGATAATCTGAAGACAATACTGAACGAGGACTCCCAAGTCCCTTTGGCCTTCAGATGTCTGAAGCCTTTTCCCATTTAGAAAATAGTTTACACTCAATTCTTCTACCCAAGTGCATAAACTCATAATTTGCCACATTGTATTCCATCTGCCGTTTCTTTGCCCAAACCCCGAGCTTGTCAAAGTCCTTCTGCAGCCTTCAACACTACCTGTCCCTCCACCTATCTCTTGCATCATCTTCAAACTTAGCAACAATGCCCACAGTTCCTTCATCCAGATCATTATTGTACAACGTGAAAACTTGTGGATCCAATATGGACCCCTGCGGAATTTCACTAGGCACTGGCTGCTATCCTGAAAAAGGTCCCTTTATCCCTACTCTCTTCCTTTTGTCAGTCAGCCAATCAATTATCCATGCCAGTACCTTGCCCCCAACACTATGGGCTCTTACTTAGCAGCCTCCTATGCAGCACCTTGTCAAAGGCCTTCTGGAAATCCAAACAGATCATATCCACTGGCTTTCCTTTGTCTAACTTGCTCAATACCTCCTGAAACAATTTTAACAGATTTAAGCATGACCACCCCTTGATGAGGTCATACTACCTTAGCCCTATTTTGCCATGCACTTCCAAGTACTCTGTAATCTCATCCTTAATCATGGATTCCAAAATCTTATCAATGACTGAAGTCAGGCTAACAGGTCTATAGGTTCCTGTCTTTTGCCTTCCTCCCTTTTTAAATGGGGGTGTTACATTTGCCACTTTCCGGTCCTCTAGGACTGTACCTGGCTCCAGTGATTCCTGAAACATCACCACCAATGTCTCCACTATCTCTTTCATAACTCTGGGATGCAGTCCAATTAGTCCAAGTGATTTATCCACCTTGAGGCCTTTCAGCTTCTCCAGCACCTTCTCTTTAGTGATGACCACTACTCTCACCTCTGCCTCTGACTCTCTTGAAGTTCTGGTATGCTGCTGGTGTCTTTCACTGTGAAAACTGATGCAAAGTACGCATTCGGTTCCTTTGTTTCTTTGTTCCCCATTTCTATTTCTCCAGACTCGTTTTCCAATAGTCCAATGTCCACTATTGCCTCTCGCTTATCTTTTAGATACCCAAAAAAATAAAAACTCTTGCAATCTTCTTTTATATTACTGGCCACCTTACTCTCATATTTCATCTTCTCCCTTTACTGCTTTTTTGGTTATTCTCGACTGGTTTTTAAAGGCTTCCCACAGATCTTCACCACACTGTATGGTATTTCCCTTTTGCTTTTATGCTGTCCCTGACTTCCCTCATCAGCCACGGTTTCCTCATCCTCCCCT